CCAGCTTTCAAAAGCTCTGCACCCCAAGATTTACTCAAATCAAAATGATTTTGGTTTAAATTTACAAACTCATCTTGCTATTTCTCAAAGCATTTTTTTTATGCAACCACATCTTGACATAAATAATTGTAAACAAAAGCAGTTTCTTCATTTTTTGGGAAGGGAAATTGATTTAATCTGGGGGGAGCATCAATTTTTTTTAGTTAGCGGTGGGGGTTGCTGCTGAGTTGATGCTGTGGTGGCATGGGAGAAAAATCTCCAGACTTTAAATCTGCACAGGTTGGCATCTATGAAGTCGTACTCAACTGCTCCTAGCTACTCACCCCCTTGTACTTCTCTTCAAGTTTTTGTGGATCCTTGATGTAGTCTGGAAATCCAATCATGTCTACCACTGCATCCGCCTGGAAGTTTTTAAAAAGAAAACTTTGTTTCCTGTGTTTTGTCTCAAACAAGATGATTCCAACCTTAATTTCTTGACCAGCCAGAATATCATTTGCAATTTTTTAAATCATTGTAAGAAGTAATAAATCTTGGACTATCAATGATAATAAAATAATTATCAAAATAATTGCTTCACACATATCTGTGGCTTTGATCATCATGATGAAGGCTAAATGAAACACTAAATCTAGTGAGGTATTCATTTACAAATGTGCCAGCAAAAGATTAATGTAGAATAGCTCTGGAAATCAGAATAATAAGTTGAGTTAAGGAAGAGTTATCTCGGATACCCAATTGACAGTTAGACACCTTGTCTTCAGCTGCCTTGCGTGTCTTTTCATCCATCCACTCCAGATCTGGTAGACCTCTTTTAAATGCATCACGTACAGCATCGACCATCTGAGTGGCCTGTCATTGATTTGGAACAGACATATAAGCATAAACCTTAGTACTTACTAGAAGCTAAGGATCTGGCTTTAATCAAACAAGGTACACAGCAGTCTTCTACAAGGGTAACAGAGTGTGGGACAACACTGAATTTTACCCTCATGGATAAAACTATATGTAGAGTCAATAAGTGTCAGTCAAACAGGCAATACTCAGATAGCTTTTATATGAACAGGTGTACAGAATAGAGGTCTGGCATTCTAGTACTCTGTAGTAGTCCTCCACAGGGAATATACAGTGTGATTTGACAACTTTATCCTTATAGATAAAACTGTAAGTAGAGTCAATTAAAGTCAGTCAAACAAGTAGCACCCAGATAGCTATTACTAAAATGAACAGGTGCAAAGAATAGAGGTCTGGCATTCTAGTACTCTGTAGTAGTCCTCCACAGGGAAAATACAGTGTGATTTGACAACTTTATCCTTATAGATAATACTGTACATAGAGTCAATAAAAGTCAGCCAAACAGGCAGTAATCAGACTGCTTTTACTTGAACAAGTGCACGACATGTAGCAGCTTTTCACCCAACATCCAATTCTCTATGTGTTTTACAAGGCAAAATGAGAAAGAATCTAACTTTCCATCAGGGAACAATAAGTATTTTTCCTATGCAACCACTGCATTTCAATGATTTTTAGGAATTCTAAAGTCAAAAAATTTTGAACACAATTTCAATGGAATGGCAGGCTATTTAACCCGTAACACCCTTACATCAGTATGCGTATTCTCCATACTATTCTCTATTCTCTATACATTTCTTAAGATGCTTGCAAGGAGAATTTGTTGAACAATCAAAAGCCTCCTTGGAACCAATGGGTTAAAACAGCTTCAACAGGATGAGTTTTTTGAAAACATTCCTTAAAAAAAAATAATTGATTGAACAATCAGTATTATCTGCTTTCATTATACCAAAAAAATTTATCTCAACTCTAAGGTCAAATCTATTTCTCACAAAAAAAAAAAAAAAGACAGCTCTGTATAACTTTGTACCTGTTGTTTGCTAGTTCCATCAAAGACCTTCTCTACAAATAGCTTTCCCACAGCCATTCCAATAGCTCCACCAGTGCTCCCCATGCACTTCTTCCACAAGTCTTCTGATCTTGTGGAACCCGTTAAAACTTTGATCAGATCTTCATGAGCATCACGGAATTTCTCTGATAGTAAAGGTGCCAATGGGTCAACAACGTGCCACACCAAGTAATTGTTCAACAACCTTGGAAAAATGCAGAGTTTGTTAGTTATTTAGTTCGTCTTCTTTGTGCATCTATACACATATATAGGGCCTTGGCCAGAGAATGCCACTGATTTATATTGGCTATCAGTCAGTCATGCTGCCCACATGTCCAGCCTCTCATTTAAATTTTTTTCTTGAGCTTCTAAACACCTGCATCAAAGAAATGTATAAAAAACCAGTGTAGAGAATTGATATTTGACACTGAGAAATACATAACAACGCTCACCTTTCTGATGCATTCTTTATCACTGGTGACAAGGCAGCAAGATATCTTGTTGCATACACCACAACCTCTTCTTCATCTTTAATGTCAGCGATGTTTTTAAAATGATTCTTTAAGAAGGCAAGCCAGCCAATCTGAAAAAATAAAAAAATAAATGGAAATGATATTATGTTGCATTCAAAGTATAATTACCACATTTGTTACTAAAAAGGCACACCAGAACCTTCTACTAGTGCCTTTCTCACTGAGCCTTTCTTAACTTAAGAGTATAAATAAATATTGATAAACTGTCATGGGAAACTGACAAAATGTTAAGAGGCAACCAATGACAGATTAGCATACCATCCTCGGGAGAAATAGCAATACTCTAGGCTACTTCTTGTGGTGGATGCTGGAGGAAGCTTTGGTAGTGTGGGATCAGGCTTGAGAGCAGAGTTAGGTACCTTTTCCTTCTACACTGTAATGTCACAGTGCACGTACCTCAGTCAAATTCAATTCTTAAATATCAAAGACTTTTTTGTCATTGCATGGACAAGAGAAGAAAAAAGTTTAAAGTGCAAGGCATTCTGAGAAGATCTGGATATTTCTATTCAATCTAATGATAGTTACAATGATAACAGAAAAACTAATTGCTGCAATTAATGCTGAATTGCGAGTTGTTTTACAACACTGTGCGGGGGACTTTACCAGACTGCTAGTAGCAGTTTACAATCAATAAAGGCAAATCTAACAGATGCCCCCTCCCCCTAATTCCCAGAAAACAGGCCAGACCACATCACAGTAATCTTGTGAGTGGGTCCTTTAATGTCTCCTGCCTAACCAAATTAACTAATTAATAGATGCAGGAGACATGACCTACAGTTTATTCATCCTTATTCAAGAAGACTAGAATGTCTATCCATTTCTTGATATTATAGAAAGGTCGCACATTCTCCACAGTAATTTTAATACCTTGAATGTTGGTCTGGCCAGGGCTCAAACCCTCGGCCTCCCTCAGAACATTCCGGCACTCTAGCCAATTGAGCTAACCGGGATATAATAATCAAATAATCTTGAATAATTATATAGTGACATTACCTGTGGACAGAGCTCTGTGAGGTTCTTAATGTTTGTTTTGTTGTAAATCTCATCAATCTGGCTTCTGTTTTCATGAGGCACAAAAATCTAAAAATGAAATTTAAGTGTTTACATGAAATTATAAGTATTTCAATAAGTATTAAAGATGGCTATGGACTCCTTCAATTTTTTTTTTAAACTCTGAAGAAAGTTTAAATGTTGATTGTTACTTAGTTCATTTACCCCTTTACTCCCCAGATCTGATTGTTAATTCTCCCCTGTTACACATTTCCTGGTCATCACTTAGTTGGTGTTAATCAAAAAAACTCTTACCTAATGATAAGTTTAAATAATCTCATTACCTGTTTGCTGGACAATCTATAGATGTTATCAGGAGTACTTACATGTTTATCAGGTCCGGGAGTTGAAGGTTAACATAAGAAAAGAGATTTCTTTTTCTGCTGCTATATTTTAACAATTTGTTTGATAAAAGTAATTACTCCATGAATTGATTACTCTAAACCTGTCAAACATTCTCGAAGAGGATCTGAATTCAAGGTCTCTCTACTATCTTTCTTGCATTTATTCAAATGTTTGCAATGATAATTTGGTGTTGAATCAGATAAAAATGTCCATACTGATATTTTTCTTTCATCTAATCACCTTTCTACTTGACAATGTATTGATATCATAAAGAGAAAATATTCAATGGTCACCCCTAAGCATGGAAGAGTTAAACAATTGTTATTTTTAAAAATGTGGAGGTGCTGTTGAGGAAATCTGGACACCCTATCATTCGTATTTCAAGCCACATTCAGTCCACTTAAAGTAGCTCCCAAGATCTCCTTAGTGTTTACAGTACTATTCTTAGGATCTTAGTCCTGACAATTTAGAATTGGATCAACAAATAATCCCTGTATATTGATATAATTTCTTTTTTCCCATCAATTTCTGGTAGATATTGTATTACCACTGTAAGGGGAAATTATGCCTTGGTCACTTGGTCACCAGCTAAAAGGTTATTATGAGGAAACATGCTATTAACATTACAGCATAGACTTGTTTACTATTCATTACATAAGTGACCAACCTTTGCCAATTTAATTTCAAACTCTAAGACCTCTCGCATTTGTTTTCTTGTTTCATTCTCCTTTCCTCCCAGCAAAACGCCAATAGTGGTCATATAGTTCAAGTAAGCTACCAGTTTCTGTGGACAGAGAAAACCACCGCCTGATCAAATACTCTGGCAGAAGCTCTGCATAGGAAAATCATGAAAACTAATAACTCTTTAAGAAACAGTTGGAGAAGTAACTACCCCTTGTAGGGTGGAATTACATAGAGCTAACAGTTAGTAGAAGGTTAAAATTTGCCTCACTCCCAACATATGGCTTTGTAGAGTTAGCAGCTTAAAAATACTCAGCAAAACTATACTCCAAAACATCTAATGCAATATATATACAAAATATACTTATTTACATATTAGAAATGAGACCTACAGGATCAGTCATGTTGTTAAGGTAATATGTTCGAGATAATGTCAGTCCAGCTTGATCAACCTGAAAAAAAAAAAAAAAAATTATAAAAATAATCTTAAAGTACATGGTAAGTGAGTATCAAAAGCTAATTAAAAATATCTAATCAAAGCTACAGAAATAACACAAGGAACCAAAGAAAATTTGAACTAAATTCCAGAAAGCTGTGTCAAGCGTGGAATAATGCAGCTATTAGAGCAAACCTTGACCTGCCCCGTCCCCACCCCACATATCTTTCTAAATTAAACTGGTGTTCACATTTCATCTGAGGGAGGCTTACCTTGATTATATTTTTTGATGAATTTTTATCATCTGCATCAACGTCAACGGCGAAAAACGCGGAACCTGAATACTTTTTATGCACCAATCGTAGGGTTTTGCCAAAGTCGAATTTTGTTTTGTTCCGATCTGGCGACGTTATACTCCATCCACCAAGATCCTCAATTATGTCGCGTAGCGGCTTTGCCCCCATTTTGTTGATGTTTGTCAAATTCATACAAGAATTGTAGAAAGTCTTGGCCTTCTTTATGGTTGGTGACCTCGTGGGAGCAGCCAACAATTGGCGTAAAAGCCGTTCATTGTCTTCCTGTAAAGCTGAATAAATCCCCCAGAACGATTTGCTTTCAGGAATCGGATGATTCTGCAACCAACCTCCGCAGGCATATTCGTAAAAATCGTCGCATGGATGAACAGATCGGTTTAGTGCGTGAAACATATGATGCGCTGCGTCTATGCAGCCCTGTGTAACACACACAGTATTCTGGTGTAAGGGTTTCCTTTTCCCTTGTTCAATTGTTCCTGATTTTCCTGCATATCTCGACAGCAACGCAGATAGCACAATGCAAATCACGATGAGCACCGCAATAATCGCTACAAGAACTGTGTTCTTTGTGAGCTTACAGGGTGAATTAAAACTTGAGCCATTTCCCGCCGAGGAGACGGAGAAACGAACCGAAGGATGATCTTCGACTGTGTCCTTAATGAGCAAAGCTGGATCGCTGGGTCCATCTTCCCAAGAATCTTCGCTTAGCAAAGGCACATTCGTTGTTGTATCGCTGATTTCAGCGCGGGTATAGTCTCTGGTCGAAGACATTTTCGTGTAGTGCTGATCTCAAAGACAACAATTACTGACTGAAAATTTGTCACCTGTTCTCGAGGAAAACAGAAAACGTTTCCAATTTGCGCTTTTTAAAATGGCCGTCGGCAAGACAGTGGTATGATTTTTCAAAAGCGCTTCACGGGAACAATCTTCCGCTCTGGTCTCAGTATCCTTCGGAGTTAGACTCTCAAAGATTAGGTTTCCCGACAAAATCAGACTTTCTGTGGCTCTCAGGGAACTATTCCTCGCTCAGCGCCCCTAGTCATAATGTAATGGACTGCATTGACTTAATATGCAAATGAAAGCAACCGGAAGCGCAGATGCCAATGGGCACCGGACGTTAAATGACATGGGAAGAACATAAACATAAACAAAAGATAAATAACGACAACAATGAAAACAAGTAAAAAAAAAAAAAGGAAACGAATGAAAAAAACTTGTCCAAATTCTTTGCGAAATCAGTTCCCAACACCATCATTGTCTTGCCAAACAAAGAGGTACAAAGAAAAGGTTTTTTTCCAACGGTACCTAAAAAAATAACTTTAAAAAAGATTGTCGCAGGATATTTTTGCTTTTAAGGTTCTTCTTGACTATATCCGCCCTCTATGTCAAATGTAGTGTTTTCACGCATAATTCCGAATAAAAGTCGGGTGTATTTATTTTCTCGCCTCGGTTGGAGCAGACTGAACGTTACAACCTTGAGGAAAAAAAAACGTTTTTCTGCTTTCTTTCCGTCGCATTCTTACAGGATGATCTCGCAGGTTTATATTTTATCTGCTTGTATCAACGTCTCATTTTTACTTCCCAACATATAACGTGGAGCTATTTCTCCTGAGAAAATATCCTTAGGGGCCGACCATTTAACTCTTGAGGGGGGGTGGGTGATTTTTAAAAAATTTCCTGCAAGCGCTTGTTGGAAGAAAAAATTGCATGCAGCCCAAACGCAACAGAGAAAAAAGAGCATTTAGAACGGAAAAAATATCCTGCCCAGTAGATTGCTAGAAAACAAATTACTTGATGACCAGAAATCACCCACCCATCCCCCCTCAAAAGTTAAATGGTCGGCCCCTTAGCTTGAAAAAGTTGTAACGAAGTTGATTTGTCACACACGCAAGACAAGGCGTCTTATCTACTGTCACGTGATTAGTTTAGACAAGACAACACAGGTTCACGGCATGTCCCTGTTTTGAGCGTGTCTATAGTGTGCCTTCAGCGTCAAATCGCGATGGATTTGAGCAAAATCGCTCAAAATCTAATAAAGTGTGTCTCCACTGGAGAGGTAAGAACTGCAACAGTTATTGAAAGCTTTTTAGAAATGAATTGACATACATTGTGAGTGCTATCGTAAATTTTGTCCAAAGCTATGGGTCTCGTCAAGCTTGTCGAAAGATGACATGAAAATTTCTCTCGCGCTGAATTCAGCGTAATGTGAGTGTGTTAATCCTAACAAGTTTTCGTTTCTCTTTAAGATGTGTAATCCGTTCCTTCTGCGACTTGTAAAAATCGATTTGATTTTCTTAAAGTTACTTCTGTTAATTACGTAACTCTACTTACATTATCATTATGGTCAGGGAGTGAATTGTAGCCTATTTCTTCGGCTGTTAGGAATATGGTGGCCATAAATAACATGTTTATAGTCTAAGTCTGAGAAAAATTCGATTTAACCATATTTCTTAACCTATTATTCGCGAAATACTGACCGAGTTTGGGTTTTAAGTCAGAAATAAAACTGGGTGTGGAACCTTATTTGACACGGAAACAAGGAGACGGGGTTATGGCCAATATGAAAAATTTGAACATTAATGAATGTCTTTTGTGACAATATGTGGGTCAAATGCGATAAAACGATTGAATTCAAAGGTTTGCTGGTTGTGTAATCAATTGTTTCCCCTAAATCATCCCAAGGGATCTTTCACTTATGACAAAAGTGTTAAAAATACCATGAACTTTGTGACCAGTCTTTCAACCTTTGATCTCTAAACCACCCAAATAGTGCCTTCTTTTCTATGTCAATTAAGTGCAAATAATGGTCTCTATGTTTTCTTTACTGTTTTTAAATTTGTTCTCTGTAACTACTTGAGAGCTTGTATCTTATTGTGTGAAACCACTGTTATTTCTGATCAGATGGTTGAGCTGCAGAGTTTATGGGCCAAACAAACTGCAGTGGTAGTTTTTCTTCGTCGCTTTGGATGACAGTTGTGCAGGCTGTGGTCGACTGAGCTTAGTTCGGTCAAATCACAGCTTGATGCACACAATGTGCGACTCTGCGGTGTGGGACTTGAGGAATTAGGTCTTGAAGAATTCCTAGAAAAAAAGTTTTTCACTGGAGGTTTGGAAGAAAAATCATTACATTTACTTTTAGCATCTAGGTTTATTTTACACGAAGAGCTAAATGATACATACATTTTGATTAGTTGTTATTTATGATCTATTGTTGGACAGATGCTTAAATGAGGGCACCGTAAACAACATTTGGCGTTTTCGTCATTCAAAACAAATAGATTCATGTAGCAGTGGGTCTGTATAGTTATAGATTATAGAAGACTTCAAACTGTGGTAAAAATATTAGTAATGCTTGGCTGCTCTTCATGTGCCATTTTTTTTATTTTTACCACATTTTTTAAGTTATCTCTGGAACCTATTACTAGATAGAAGCACAGCAACATGGAATCTTTAAGGCATTTCTGAAAGAAATTTATAGAAAGGAAAAAAAGGAGCTTGATAGGTGTGATGCTTGATAGATACAAGACAATTCATTTAGTGTGTGTCATGTGGATAGTGGTCATCCAATGCTCCACGTCAGGGGCTCATGTAAGATATGCTCAACACTGTTTTGCAAGCCTCAATGCAGATTTAAAATTCCTTGTAAGGTAGAGCTTTTTTAAGTCTTATGTTTATTTATTTATTTACTTATTTTATCTCTGTCAGCATCTTGACACTCTCAAATGCCAGCAAACCAGCTTATAACTTTTTTCAAGTTAACCAGTGAATTTCCATTTCAGGAGCTCCACATTAGAAATGAAGTAGTTTAATGTGGGTGATCATTAGGTAATAACCTAAAATTGCACAAACATTACTTTTGAAATGAGTGCTTAAAATGGTCTCTGTGGTCTTTCCATAGAGTTGTTCATTGATGCTAAACAACAAATCTACAAAGATTTGGGATTCAAGAGGTAAGTAATTCTTGTCACCTCTGCCTGGCCCAGCTCTGGCAATCCCATGTCTGCATTGTGACAGACTCTTTTGGTCTAGGATTGGACTTTGCCACCATCTTTGCACTCATGATACATGAAATGATGGTGGTCTTCGCTAGGAAACGATGAACATTGTCATCATCATTACTTCTTATCATCTCCGTTTAACAACTTTTTCTAACTTATTGGACATTTATGCTGCTCTTAGGTTTAATTAGAGAAAGTGATAATCAAATTGGTAGACTTAAATGCTTTCATTTCAATTAACTTTCAGATCGTAATTGTAGTCGTAATCGTAATCAAAGATTAATGTCTTTACATAGGGCATGGTTACCCATATTGCCCGAGCCAGAGGCTCGTGTATGAAACACAAGACAACAACCCACCCATCCCACCCCAGGGGAGGACATCCATCACACAGTAATCTC